ATATGTTGAACCAGCCTTGCATCCCCAGGATGAATGCTACTTGATCATGGTGGATAGGCTTTGTGAGGTGCTGTTGCAATCAGCTAGCCAGTATTTTATTGAAGATTTTCACATCTATGTTCACCATGGATATTGGCCTGAAGTTTTCTTTTCTTGTTGAGTCTCTGCCGGGTTTTGGTATCAGGATGATGTTGGTCTCATAAAATGATTTGGGAAGGATTCCCTCTTTTTGGATTATTTGGAATAGTTTCAGAAGGACTGACACCAGCTCCTCTTTGTGTGTCTGGTAGAACTCGGTTGTGAACCCATCTGGACCTGGGGTTTTTTTTGTGTGGTAGGCTCTTAATTGCTGCCTACACTTCAGACCTTGTTATTGGTCTATTCACAGTTTCGGCTTCCTCCTGGTTTAGGCTTGGGAGGACACAGGAGTCCAGGAATTTATCCATTTCTTTCAGGTTTACTAGTTTATATGCATAGAGTTGTTTGTAATATTCTCTGATGATGGTTTGAATTTATGGAATCTGTGGTGACTTACCCTTTACTGTTTTTTATTGCATCTATTTGGATATTCTCTCTTTTCTTTTTTATCAGTCTGGCTAGTGGTCTATCTATTTTGTTGATCTTTTGAAAAAATCAGCTCTTGGTTTTATTGATTTTTTTAAGGGTTTTTTATGTCTCTATCTCCTTCAGTTCTGCTCTGATCTTAGTTATTTCTTGTCTTCTGCTAGGTTTTGGGTTTTTTTTTTATCTTGCTCCTCCAGCTCTTTCAATTTTGATGATAGGGTGTCAACTTTGGATCTCTCCACTCTTCTCATGTGGGCACTTATTGGTATATATTTTTCTCTAGAGACTGCTTTAAATGTGTCCCAGAGATTCTGGTATGTTGTGTCTTCATTCTCATTGGTTTTGAAGAACTTTATTTCTGCCTTCTTTTCATGGTTTATCTAGTCAACATTCAAGAGCCAGTTGTTCAGTTTCCATGAAGCTGTGCGGTTCTGAGTTAGTTTATGAATTCTGAATTCTAACTTGATTGCACTATGGTCTGAGAGACTGTTTGTTATGATTTCAGTTGTTTTGCATTTGCTGAGGAGTAATTTACTTCCAATTATGTGGTCAATTTTAGAGTAGGTGTGATGTGGTGCTGAGAACAATGTATATTCTGTGGATTTGGGGTAGAGTGTTCTGTATATGTCTATCAGGTTTGCTTGTTTCAGGTCTGAGTTCAAGCCCTGGATATCCCTGTTAATTTTCTGTCTGGTTGATCTGTCTAATATTGACAGTGGAGTGTTAAAGTCTCCTACTATTATTGTGTGGGAGTCTAAGTCTCTTTGTAAGTCATTAAGAACTTGCCTTGGGTCCATATATATTTAGGATCGTTAGTTCTTCTTGTTGTATCGATCCTTTTACCATTATGTAATGACCTTCTTTGTCTCTCTTGATCTTTGTTGCTTTAAAGTCTATTTTATCAGAGATGAGAATTGCAACTGCTGCTTCTTTTTTGCTCTCCATTTGCTTGATAAATCTTCCTCCATCCCTTTATTTTGAGCCTTTGTGTATCCTTGCCTGTGAGATGGGTTTCCTGGATACAGCACACTGATGGGTTTTGGATTTTTATCCAATTTGCCAGTCTGTGTCTTTTGATTGGTGCATTTAGCCCATTTACATTTAGGGTTAATATTGTTATGTGTGAATTTGATACTGCCATTTTGATGCTAGTTGGCTATTTTCCCGGTTAGTTCTTGCAGATTCATCATTTTGTTGATGCTCTTTAGCATTTGGTATGTTTTTGGAATGGCTGGTACTGGTTGTTCCTTTCTATGTGTAGTGCCTGTTTCAGGAGCTCTTGTAAAGCAGGCCTGGTGGTGACAAAATCTCTGAGTACTTGCTTGCTCGCAAATGATTTTATTTTTCCTTCACTTATGAAGCTCAGTTTGGCTGGATATGAAATTCTGGGTTGAAAGTTCTTTTCTTTAAGGATGTTCAATATTGGCCCCCCACTCTCTTCTGGCTTGTAGGGTTTCTGCCAAGATTTCTGCTATGAGTCTGATGGGTTTCCCTTTGTGGGTGACCAGACCTTTCTCTCTGACTGCCCTTAGCATTTTCTCCTTCATTTCAACCCTTGTGAATCTGATGATTATGTATGTGACTTGCGGTTGCTTTTCTTGCGGAATATTTTTGTGGTGTTCTCTGTATTTCCTGGATTTGAATATTGGCCTGTCTTGCTGGTTGGGGAAATTTTCCTGGATAATATCCTGAAGACTATTTTATAGCTTGGCTTCATTCTCTTCATCACATTCAGGTACACCTATCAAATGTAGATTAGGTCTCTTCATATAGTCCCACATTTCTTGGAGACTTTGTTCATTCCTTTTTGTGCTTTTTTCCTCTAATCTTGGCTTCTTGTTTTATTTCATTGAGTTGATCTTCAACTTCTGAAATTCTTTCTTCTGCTTGGTCAATTCGGCTACTGAAACTTGTGCATGCTTTGCGAAGTTCTCATGTTGTGTTTTTCAGCTCCTTCAATTCACTCATATTCCTCTCTAAGTTGTCCATTCTTGTTATTATTTCCTCAAATCTTTTTTCAAGGTTCTTAGTTTCTTTGCATTGATTTAGAACACGTTCTTTTAACTCATGGAATTTTCTCATTACCCACCTTCTGAATTCTGATTCTGTCATTTCATCACAGTCATTCTCCGTCCAGCTTTGTTTCCTTGCTGGTGAGGAGTTGTGATCCCTTGTAGGAGGTGAGGTGTTCTGGTTTCTGGTGTTTTCCTCCTTTTTGTGCTGGTGTCTTCCCATCTTTGTGTATTTATCCACCTGTTGTCTGAGTAGTTGCTGATTTTCCAATTGGGTCTCTGAATGGACGTCCAGAGAAATGAAAAGTTTTAATTTTTCATTGTTGATAATGAAGTATTTCTGTTTCTTGGTTTTCCTTCTAACAGTCTAGCCCCTCTGCTGCTGGACTGCTGAGGTCCACTCCAGGCCCTGCTTGCCTGGGGAACTCCTGTAACAGCTGTGGAACTGTGAGGGTTGCTACCAGATTCTTCTTCGGCTATCCTTGTCCCTGAATGATGCGTGCCAAATGTCAGTCTGATCAGTCCTTTGTGAGGTGACTTTTTGGATATACTGGGGTCAGGGAGCTGCTTGAAGAGACAGTCTGTACTTCATAGGAGCTCAAGTGCTGAGCTGTGAGCTCCTTTGTTCATTCAGGGATGCTAGGCAGGTACATTTTAATCTGCTGCAGCAGAACTCATAAAGCCCCCTTTTTTTTCCTCAGGTGCTCTGTCCTGGGGAGTTAGGGCTTTATTTATGAGTATCCATTGCAGTGTCCTGCCCAGTGAGGAGGCAGTCTAGTCACTGCCTGCCTATAATGGCTATGCTGAGCTGTTGTGGGCTCCACCCTGCTGCCGTGGGCTCCACCCTGCTGTTGTGTGTAATTCCCTGTAGTCCTGTTTATATGGTTGTGGTTAGAACTGCAGTGGTGATGGTGGCCCACCTCTATAATGGCGGACTCTCTCTGTTATGGCGGGTTGCCTTGGCAATGGCAGGCTGCGTAAGCCATGGCAGAGTACCTCCATAGGGGTCGAGTACCTCGGTAATGGCCGACGCCCCTCCCCCACTGTGCTGCACTGTCATGGGTTCAGCTGTGCTTGCCATGAGACTCTCAACCCTGTGTGTTTCCAAGTGCTGTTTTGTTTGTTTTTGTAGGGGTGGGACCTGCCAAATCACCTGGCTCCCTGCCTCAGAGCCCTTTTTATTTTTTAAATTGTATGGTTGACTCTCTCCCAGGTGTTCCAGTCGCCTGCTGAAAGGGCACCGGGATCTGTGTGATTTCCCATGCAGCGACCCACTGCGCCAGCTCAAACAACATTGCTGTCTGGGAATCTCCTGGCCTGGCTTTCTGTTTAAGTCCCGTTTAATCAGATGAATGTGCGAATCTGCCTTCCAAAATTTCCAATTGCCAGTTTAACAGGGCAACCAAACCAGTGTATTTTGTATGGAGTGCTGCTGTGCTGTGGCCTTGGCCCAAACAGCTGCGCCAGCCAAAACAGCTATGCCGGCCCAAACTGCCATGCTGGCCCATACTGCTGTGCTGGCGGCCCATGGGGCTCCTACACCTGGGAATCTCCTAGTCTGTGGGCAATAAAGATCCATCTGGAAATGCAGCATCCACTCACCCTCTGCGATTTCACTAGGAGCTGCAATCCTGAGTTGGTCCTACAGCGCCATCTTCCCAAACCTTCCATTTCTGCATTTTTCATGTATTTCACTTCTACCTACATGATAATCCAAACAAGATATTATTTTATTTTTACTTTTAACCATCAATAATATCTCAAAGACCTTCAGTCAAACATGCATAAAATACCTTTATATTCATTAAAGTTTTTTATTTTTTAATTGCTTTCATTTCTTTGTGGATAAAGAGGTTTTTATCTGGATTCAGATAAAATACTCTCAAGAACATCTTTATTATTTTTGTAATGCAGGTCTTCCAAAGACATATTTGTTTTCAGATTTTATTTTTTTCAGTCTAAAAATGGTGTTGCCTTCATTTTTGATCAATATTTCACTGAATATTAAATTATAGGTTGACAATTTTCTCTTATTACTTAAATCTGGTGTCCTTTTATTTTCTAGTCTCCATGTTTCTAATGAAGCATTAGCTCTCATTCTTATTATCATTCCCTGTGTAAAATATACTTTATCTCTGGCCTTTATCAAGATTTTTCTCTTTATCTATGATACATACCCTACGTATAATTCTCTTTGTAACTATTTTTCTTGAAATCTACTGAACTTCTTGGCTCTCTAAACTGTTGTTTCACATTAACTGTTCATTGCCACTATCTCTTCAAATATTTTATTTTTCTTTTCTCTTTTCCTCCTCCTCAGAATTTAGTAATAGCATATTAAAATTGGATATTTCCCACAGATCTGGGAAACTTTATTTTTTCTACTTTTTTTGTGTGTGTTTCAGTTTTGATAATTTCGATTGACCTGTATTCAATTTCATGAATTCTTTTATAGTGAATGTTATTATAATAACTTCATGTTGCCTTGTCATCCATTTTGAATGCAGGTTTAATTTTCACTAGAAGAAGGGCTCAGTCACTCTTGACACAGTTTCTAATTCTATGCCACACCTAGGATGCTCAGCCTGGTCACCAGAGGTAAGAACTTAAAAGACATCTCCCGGACCTGGCAGACTGGGATCCCATCTTTCCCAAGATTTCTTTAAGTGGACTATTCAGGAATTTGCCCATAAACTTAAAGTGATTCACACTCCATTGCCATATATATATATATATATATATATATATGTATCACTAATTGCCCTGCACATTTCTCTCTCTGTCTGTCTGACTCTTCATTCTTGCCTCATGTGACCTGGGGACAGAGGACTGATTTTCTGGCTCATGCCCTTCTTGTTCAGGAACTGTAAGTAAAAATTGCTGAACTTGTTTCCTATTGTGGTGATGTATTAAATTTGTGCCTTTCAGGGACCTGGATAAAGCTGGAAACCATCATCCTCAGCAAACTAACACAGGAACAAAAAACCAAACACCAGGGTCTCACTCATAAGTAGGAGTTTAACAATGAGAACACATGGACACAGAGAGGAACATCAGACACTGGGAACTGTTGAGGGGTTGGGAGAAAGGGGAGGGAGAGCATCAGGACAAATACTTAATGCATGCAGAGCTTAAAACCTAGATGACAGGTTAATAGGTGCAGCAAACCATCATAGCACAGGTATACCTATGTAACAAACTTGGACAATCAGCACATGTATCCCAGAACTTAAAGTAAAAAATATTGTGCCTTCCACCTGAAGAACTAGGGGCTATCTCAAGCTGGGTTTTTTTGTGGGATGCCAGGGAGACCGTGAAATCAGGTTCCCAGTGCCAGAACAATAATCAGGATGTGGGTCAGACAAGAGCCACAGGGGCTTCTGCTGAAATAAGTAGGCTTTCTGTGTGAGGGACCCTCTGATCATAGTATGTTGTCCACCAAGTATAAAACAAGTGTTCCATGAAAGGCACACTGTAAACACCCCTCATTTCTCATTAGGGCAAGTTTGCTAGCCACTGTGGTACTGCAACCCCAATTTAGCTGAGGGCTCAACATCTTTCCTTTACTGTATTTAGTCTCTTGATTAACTTGTAATGAAAATTCTTTATCATATTTCACTTCTACTTCTTCCATTTGGCCTTTGTATCTCCTTGCTAAGTTTCTTCTCTATTCTGTTTATTTTCTAGAAAATCTTTTGACATTTGATCATGGTTAGTTTAAAGCCCACTCTGATAATTCAGAAATGTGTAGCATTCTGTGTTTTGTTATCCTGCCTTTACATGTGATCTATATTTTTTAATTGAATACTACTGAGCATTGTTTGCATAGAATAAAGTAAACAATATTTACATTCAAAAAGGAGCCTACCTCTTTAGTTAGTTAGTATGGAGTGTAAAGAACATACATAAATTCTGGTGTTAAATCAAGTTTAGTGTTTGGTTTTGATTTCATCTTCAAATTATTTGTAAAGAGATTAGAATCTTTCCTTAAATAGGTTTTCTTGAAGGTTTCATCTCAGTTTCCCTGACCTATGATTCTCAGATTTCAGCAGGACTTGTGCACCTGTTCTCAGGGTTGTCTCACCCACTTCCTTGTCCTTCTTCCTGTATTTGGGTATTTGGCATTGGCCAGGTAATCAGTTTAGACCTGAGCACCTGAAACATCCAGTGTCCTTTTAGTTTTCTCATTGCCATCAGCTTTTTAGCAGGCTATATTGCTCTGTGCCTCAGTATGGGAGTACTCTATTGCCCCAGCTCAGGCACTGAACAGCTGCTGTCTAGTAATCATCATAAGGCCTGAAGTCCTTGTGGGCATTCTCTCCTTCCTACTCACGGTGCTCAGATTTCAGCAGGTTCTCCTGCAACTGCAGTTGAAGTCGAGGGTTCTCTTTTAGCCTACCTGCCCTGCCTAAAGTCTTTCTTGGGTTCACTGACTGAAGTCCCCTTAAAAATACATGTCATGTGGGGCTGTCTCACTTTGTAGCTGAGGCTCTAAATTGTCACTTAAATGCATTTTAAATTCAGCTGTTGCATTATTCCTGTGTCTGTAGTGTCTGTGGTGGCTTCCTCCTCCTCTCACAATCCTTGTGCCAAGGATTAAAGCAGCCAGGAGCCCCTTTTATCCTAGAACGGGCTTGTTATATATTTAAATTTTATTTCACTCTGTTTACTTGTGCAAACTGATTTCACTCATGCTTTAAAAACTACAATTTTAAAGAGTATTTGTACTGTTACAGAAAGTGATAATGATACAGGAGTTAAGAAGAAATTACTTAGGCAGATAGCGAGAGCAGGAGAGTCCTTGGTAAAGTTTTCCTTTTAATAAAAATCAGTCCCCAAATCATTTTCTTTTCTAACAGAGAGCAGCCTGGAAAATTGAGCTGCAGACATAGATAAGCAAGCTAGAAGCTTGAACAAGTGAATGCCAGCAGTTGTGCCAATAGGAATATACTACCTGGGATTGGGCATGTTCAAAATGGCAGCTCCATTTTCTTTTCTTACCAGTTACATATATAGTAAGCAGCAGACAAGATGGCACTGGCCAAGTGGAAAACTCATTTGCATAATAAGATTAGGGTGGGGCTTCCAGATGGTGGCTCACTCCTGTTTGGGAGGCCCAGGCCAATAGAGCACCTGAAGTCAGGAGTTCACGACCAGCTTGGCCAATATGGTGAAACACTGTCTCTACTAAAAATATAAATATTAGCCAGACATGGTGGTGTGTTCCTGTAATCCCAGCTACTTGGGAGGCTGAGGCAAAAGCATTGTTTGAATCCAAGAGGCAGAGATCGCAGTGAGTAGAGATTGCACCACTGTACTCCAGCCAGAGAAAGACTCTGTCGTAAACAAATAAACAAAATTAGAGTGGGGCAACCAGCCTTCCCCAGGCACCATATAAATGTCACACCTTATGGAGCTAATCTGTGGGTCCTATGTAAATCAGACACTGTCTACTTAAGCCTGCCATAACATCTTCTGCAGTCCAATGCACATCTGCCTTTTTCTTTTGAAGGCCTCGCTCCCACAAGAGAGAGCTGCCCTCCTCTATCCTTTCTTCTGCCTATTAAACTTTCCACTACTTAACCCACCCACGTGCCCATGTCCTTAATCTTCTCAGCATGAGACATGATGAACCCCAGGTATTTACCCCAGACAATGATGCTGCTTCAATGCTTCCTCAAAATATTCTATGTTCTAAATCTCCTTGTATAACTTCATGAGAAAGTACTAAAGAGTTTTCCAAAGTGATTGAACATTCTTGAATTACAACATTCTAATTATTAATCTATGTGAGTAGAGTAGTTCTATTTTCTTACCAACAGCTGAGGTTGTGGGTCTTTTTATTGTTAGTCACTCTAGAAGGCATGAAATTATATTAAATTTTAGTTCTCATTTGAATTTCTCTTATGGTTAATGATGCTGAGCACCTTTTCATGTGCTTATGGTTATTCTTTTATAATCTTTTGTGAAGCATCTTTTCAAGTGAGTTGTTCATTATACATTAGATTCTGTGGATTTGATCATTATTGATTTGTAGTACATTACTCTTCATCAAGGTCCATCATCAGATAATCAGATATATGTATTGTACTATTTTTTTCCAGTGTGGTTTAATGGTGTCATTTGATAAAAAGTTGTCAATTTTGATGATGTATAAAATGTGTATGTGTGTATATGTAGTATGTGTCTCCACCATTTTCAGAATTGTTTTGGCTCTAGATCCTTTATATTACTGTATATTATAACTTTATCAATTTCTTTTAAAAATGCTTTCAAATTGTTAAATTTGAACATAGATGACATCTTAACAATACTAAGCCTCCTAATCTAAGAACATTTTACATTACTTAAGTTATTTAGATCATCTTTAATTTTACTCTGCAATGTTTTATGGTTTAAGTGTAAAGATTTTCAATAAATTTATTCATGTGTTTTGTAATTTTTGATGCTATTGTAATGAGTATTTTATAAATTTTATTTTCAATTGTTTGTGGCTTATATAACTAAATGAAATTGAACATATACCCTGAGATCTTGCTAATCTCTCTCAATAGTTTTAATAATTGTTTTGCAAGTTCCTTAGTATGTTCTACATTACAACAATGCATTCTGCAAATTATAAAGCTTTAGTTTGTTTTATAAATGTTCTATAATTTTTAAAACCTTTTATTGCATATTGGACTATATGAAACTGCTAGTAAAAAAGATAGAAGTAATGTGTTATATTATCTGTAGATGTTTCATGATAACTTAAATCGGATTGAGAGAGGTTTTTGTTTTTAGTTTGAGAATTATTTTTTTCCTTTCATTTCTAGAATTGAAATTGACCACTCTTGGTTTTGTGTGTACGTATGTGTGTATTCTATCATATACTCCATGTGATGATGTGTATCTACACACACGAGGACACGTGTACCATATGTATGCATATATATGTGTATATACAATTTGACTTTGATTTGATCATATTTTGACAAGTTTTTATGTAACTTTTCAAGGAATGGTTGTCATACTTTTCTTCTTGTAGAATGTTTGTCAAGTTTTGTATCAGAGTTTTTATTCTGGCCTCATTAAATGAGTTACGAGATATTTTCATATTCTCTATTTTCTAAACCTATTTGTAGAACTTTGGTATTATTTCTTCCTTAAATAGTTGATAAAATTTACCAGTTAATCTTAGAATTTTCCTCACATAAAAATTACATAAGCAACTTTAAAATTTTTAAATATTTCCTTATTCAGATTCTCTATTTTTTGATGTTGACAAATTATAGTTTTCTTTCGTTTTTTTTTTTTTTTTTTTTTTTGAGATGGAGTTTCACGTTTCACTCTTATTGCCCAGGCTGGAGTGCTATCTCTGCTCACTGCAACCTCTGCCTCACAGGTTCAAGCAATTCTCCTGCCTCAGCCTCCTTAGTAGCTGGGATTACAGGCATGCACCACCACACCCAGCTAATTTTGTATTTTTAGTAGAAAAGGGGTTTCACCATGTTGGTCAGGCTGGTCTTGAACTCCCAACCTCAGGCAATCCACCCATCTTGGCCTCCCAAAGTGCTTGGATTACAGGCATGAGCCACCGCGCCAAGCCAGCAAATTGTAGTTTTCAGAAGTTTTTAACAGTGAATCAAAATTGTTGAATGTATTGATATAAAGTGGATATTCCTTCAAATATCTGTAGTTTTGTTGTGATATACTCTCTTTTATTCCTGATCTGGATAATTTATGTGTTTTCTTTTCCCTTGATCACTGTGTAAAAATTTTATGCATCTTATCAAAATTCTATTGATCTTTACAATGAACAAGTCTTAGGTTCTTAATGTTCATTAATGTGTTCTATTATGTAAATTGCTCTTCTTATCTGTTACTTTTCTTTCCTTTTACTTCAGATTAAAATTACTCTATTTTTTAGCTTCTGAAAACAGATATTTAGATTCTTTATTTTAACATTTTATTTTCTAATATAGGTATTTAAAGCTATGAAATAATCTTTAAATACCAAAAATTTAAATATGTTTTATTTTAACTCACTTTAGTGCATTTAAAAATTTTTATCTGCTAATTTCTTTTTTTTTCTTTTTTTTTTTTGCTATAACATGAGTTATTTATTTGGCAACATTACGTTTTCTTTTTTTTTGAGATGGAGTCTCACTCTGTTGTCCAAGCTGGAGTGCAATGGTGTGATCTCGGCTCACTGCAACCTCCACCTCCCGGGTTCTAACGATTCTACTGTCTCAGCCTCCCAGGTAGCTGGGATTACAGGTGCCTGCCACCACATCTGGCTAATTTTTGTATTTTTAGTAGAGATGGGGTTTCATCATATTGGCCAGGCTGGTCTCAAACTCCTGACCTCAGGTGACCCACTTCAGCCTCCCAAAGTGTTGGGATTACAGGCATGAGCCACCATGCCCAGCCCTAAATCTTTTTAAATTAAATATATAAGATTTCTACACATATTATTTATGATTTAATTCTACTGTATTCAATATACATCATATAATACCACCTTTCTTCTGGGGCTCAAGTTGCATGTATGTCAGTCTGTTTAATATCGTTCCAAAGGTAATTTAGGCTTTTATTATTTTTAAGAAATTACTTAGTGTCCCTTCAGGTTACACATTATTTACATCGATCTCTCTCCAAGTTCACTGATTCTCTCTTTCGTCCGTCACACAATGAAATTCCATTTCAGATTTTATGTTTTCCACTCTAGAGGTTTGTTTTATTTTACTTTTCAATTCTTTGTGATTTTCTAACTTTCATGCTTTATGTCCAGGTTTTCCTATAAATTCTACAACATATTCATGACGGTTGCTTTAAAGTGGCTTTCTTTGCCTGATAAATTTAACTTAGGAATGTTTTAGAGATTGGTTCCTAGCATTTGATGTTTGTTTCTTGATTATGAAGCATCTTCTTCTGCGTCTCATTTCTGTGTGTGTGTCTAGTGATTTATTTTATGCTAAATATTGAAATACTTTCTAGACGTTCTCAATTATATTGTTTCCTTTAAAGAACATTATGCTGTTATATTCTGGCAGACAATTGTATCCCTGGCCAATTCCTTTGGTCCTCAAAACTTTTTTTGTTTTATGTTAGCACTGTGAGGGTCTTCTTTGTCCTCCTCCACTTACCAAAAGATTCCCTCTCCTTGGGTTTCTCGACCTTGCACCACAGTGGGGGAAGTGCAGCTAATCAGAAAACAGGGCAAACAGAGGCCTAACTCCTGAGTTTTATCTTTCTCAAGAATTACAGGTATATGCTGCCTGCTTCTCAATGCATGAAAACAGTTGTTTCATGTTTTCTCCCATTCTATAGTATTTGTGCCAGAACTGCAGGTAAGGTACTAGTTACTTTGCAGCTAGAGGTTAAAATCTTCCGCCAAGCAGACACTTGACCTCAGATCACAGGGTTTTCCATTATACATTACAAGCACTGTGATTATCTGAGCCTTTTCCATGCCCTATATTACACTCGTAATGCCTGATGTTCCATTAAAAAAATTCTAAACATTATTTAGGGCTAACTTTTAATACTATCTTGCTCATGGCCTACAAGCCACACTTGGCTTCTATCATTAAACTTTTACTTCCTACATGCCAACTTAAGGCATTTCTCTCTTCATATCTTAGGTGAGACCTGTGTTGAACTCCAATACAGGTTGCAAATACTTTCAGATAAAAGGTTGAGATGGACCAGGCATGGTGGTCCATGCTTGTAATCCTAGCATTTTGCGAGGCCAAGGACAGCAGATTGCCTGAGGCAAGCATTTGAGACAAGCCTGGACAACATGTCGAAACTCTGTCTCTACTAAAACTACCAAAAGAAAGGACAAGGGGAAGGGGAAGGGGACGGAGAAGGAGAAGGGGAAGGAAGAAGAAGGGGAAGGGGAAGGGGGAAGGGAAGGGGAAGGAGAAGGAAGGGGGAGGGGAAGGGGAAGGGGATGGGGAAGGGGAAGGGGGAGGGGAAGGGGAAAGGGAACGAAGAAATTAATTGGGTGTGGGATGGCACATGCCTATAGTCCCAGCTACTACTTGGGAGGCTGAGGCCCAAGAATCGCTTGAATTTCGGAGGTGGAATTTGCAGTGAGAGGAGACTGTGCCTTTCTGGGTTATTTGTTGATGTTGTTGTTTGTTTGTTTTGTTTTGATGGAGTCTCTCTCTTCTTGTCCAGGCTGGAGTGCAATGGCAAGATCTTGGCTCATCACAAACTCCGCCTACTGGGTTCAAGTGATTCTCCTGCCTCAGCCTCCCAAGTAGCTGGGATTATAGGTGTGAGCCACTGCATCCGTCCGATTGTGCCTTTCTGAAGCAATATCTATGTGTAAAAATTTGGCAGCTCTCTATGTCAGGCCTAATGCCCTAGTGGGTCAAGGATTTATTCTATAACTCAAATTGTTAAAACCTGTTTTGGAGCTCTGGAGATTTCTCTTTTACTGTTTTCCCATACCCAGGAGCAGCTCTCAGTTGGTTCCTGACTAGGCAAACTGCTTTGAACCTTCTCTTTACTTACAGCTGGCACTTACTATCTCTTCTCTGATGAATCCAAGCATCCTTTCCTAGAAGATCTGTACAGGATGTGAGTATCTACTTACTATTCTAGCTCTTCTCCATGTTGGAGGCATGTACTACCTGTGTCTAGTCAGCCATCTTGGTGTCTTCTCCAGTAGTTCACTGCTGTGGGAGGAACACCAAAGTAACATGAAAAAAGGCTTAGATAAATAAAGGAGTAAAGGTTTGGGACAGTAATGAAATCCACTGCAAGGGTCCAAATACACCTCAATGCTGTGGAATAGCATTAAATTCTATGGAATATCAAGAAAATTAAGGTCATTTCGGATTTGGTTATGACATAGATGCTGGAACTTTGAAATAGTTCTGCAACCAGACAAAAAAGGTAGGCTGTGGTTTCCTTTGTGGAAACCAAAATATTTCTTTTTCTTTTTTCATTAAAACCAAAATTATACCTCTAAGATGATTAGCAGTTTCTACCTTGGCCTATCCAGACCTGAAGCCACCATATAAGAATTAAGACTAGGCTTCAGGAAAGACCACATAGAGATGCCCTGAGAACCCACTAAAAGAAAGAAGGGGTCAGTTAGCCCAGGGCTTCAGCAATCTACACCAAAGCATCAGGCTTTCCAGACAAAATCAGCTACCAGATTAATACCACTGGGTAAAGCAACATGAGGCAGAAGAACTGGGCGACTTTGTGCTAATTCCCGACACATAAAATTGTGAGGTATAACATCACAGTTGTTTTCATTCACTAATTCTGTGGGTAGACTGTTATGCAGCAATAACAGTCAAATAACAAGAGCAGAATTTGGTTCCAGGAAATGGGATGCTGTTCTAACAGAAAACAAGACTGTGTGACATTGGCTTTGAAGCAGGTTGCAGAATGAGAGCTGGAAGACACTCAAAGAGACTCAGTGCAAGTTGGAAGGGCCTTATGGAGACTGCTGGGGAAGGCTTGGCGAACATAAGGACAATGCTATTGGAGGCTGGAGAAAAAAACTAGGTCTATTCTTATGTTGTGACAGAAGCAACACCATTGCCTATGGGAACAGGGAAAATATAAAAGATGCTTTATATGCTTCTGAGGTTGATGGAAAAAATTTTCTAGGCAACATACAGAAAGGTTTAACTCACTTTTTTTCTAGCTACCTATGAGCAGAGAGATACAAGAAAAAAGAGATAAGGAAAAAAATTTTCGTTTTTGAACAAAATTTACAAATAATATAGAACACCTAGATGGTCTTTCTAACTTGTGAAAGGCTCTCAAGGGAGGATTGGCCTCAAGGCAAAGTTCAAACCCAGATCAACAAAATTTGATCTCAGGGTAAAAGTAAAGTCAGAGGGATGGCTAAGAGACCTTTACTAAGACCTAAGAAAGGTTCAGCTCTCTAAGAATATTAAGAATGGGCTGTATTAATCCAATCTCACTCTGCTATAAAGAAATACATGAGACTGGGCAAAGAAAAGGGGTTTAATTGGCTCATGGTTCTGCAGGCTGTACAGGAAGCATGGCGGGGAGCCCTCAGGAAACTTAGAATCATGGTGGAAGGCGAAGAGGAAGCTGGCACATCTTACATGGCCAGAGCAGAAGGAGGAGAGCAAGGTGGGGGTGTCAGACACTGTTTTTTTTAACTTTAAGTTCTAGGGCACATGTGCAGATCTTGCAGGATTGTTGCATAGGTACACACATGCCATGATGGTTTGCTACCTCAATCCCCCCATCACCTACATTAGGTATTTCTCCTAATGACATCCCTCCCCAAGCTGCCCACCTCCTGCTATCCCTCCCCTAGCCCTTCACCCCTCAACAGACCCCAGTGTGTTATGTCCCCCTCCTTGTGTCTGTGTTCTCATTGTTTAACACTTACTTATGACTGAGAATATGCTGTGTTTCATTTTCTGTTCCTGTGTCAGTTTGCTGAGAATGATTGTTTCCAGTTGTATCCATGTCCCTGCAAAGGACATGAACTCATCCTTTTTTATGGCTGCATAGTATTCAATGGTATATATGTGCCATATTTTTTTTAATCCAGTCTGTCTTTGATGGGCATTCAAAGACTTTGATGGCTCCAAGTCTTTGCTATTGTAAACAGTGCCACAATGAACATACTTGTACCTGTGTCTTTATAATCCTTTGGGTATATACCCAGTAATGGGATTGCTGGGTCAAACGGATTTTCCATTTCTAGGTCCTTGAGGAAGCACCACACTGTCTTCCACAATGGTTGAACTAATTTACACTCCCATTAACAGTGTAAAAGCATTCCTGTTTCTCCATATACTCTCCAGCATCTGTTGTCTCTAGATGTTTTAATGATCGCCATTCTAACTGGCATGAGATGGTATCTCAATGTGGTTTTGATTTGCATTTCTCTAATGACCAGTGATAATGAGCATTTTTTCATATGTTTATTGGCCTCATGACTGTCTTTTGAAAACTGTCTATTCATATCCTTCACCCACTTTGTGATGGGGTTGTTTTTTTCTTGCAAATTTGTTTTAGTTCTTTGTAGATTTGGGTTATTAGCCCTTTGCCAGATGGGTAGCTTGCAAAAATTTTTTCCCATTCTGTTGGTTGCTGGTTCACTCTAATGCTTGTTTCTTTTGCTGTACAGAAGCTCTGAAGTTTAATTAGATCCCATTTGTCTATTTTGGCTTTTGTTGCCAATGCTTTTGGTGTTTCAGTCATGAGGTCCTTGCCTATGCCTATATCCTGAATGGTTTTGCCTAGGTTTTCTTCTAGGGATTTTATAGTTTCAGGTTTTATGTTTAAATGTTTAATTCACCTGGAGTTAATTTTAGTGTAAGGTGTTAGGAAGGGGTCCAGTTTCAGCTTTCTGCACATGGCTAGCCAGTTTTCCCAACACCATTTATTAAACAGGGAATCCTTTCCCCATTGCTTGTTTTTGTCAGGTTTGTCATAGATCAGATGGCTGTAGATGTACAGTGTTGCTGCCAAGGCCTCTGTTCTGTTCCATTGGTCTATACCTCTATTTTGGTACCAGTACCATGCTGTTTTGATTACTGTAGCCTTGTAGTATACTATGAAGTCAGGTAGCTTGATGACTCCAGCTTTGTTATTTTTGCTTAGGATTGTCCTGGCTATGCAGGCTCTTTTTTGGTTCCATATAAAGTTTAAGGTGGTTTTTTCCAGTTCTGTGAGGAAGGTCAATGGTAGTTTGATGAGGATAGCTTTGAATCTATAAATTACTTTGGGCAGTATGGCCATTTTCACTAAATTGATTCTTCCTAACCATGAGCAAGAAATGTTTTTCTAATTGTTTGTATCCTCTCTTATTTCCTTGAGCAGTGGTTTGTAGCTTTCCTTGAAGAGGTCCTTCCTGTCCCTGGTTAATTTTATTCCTAGGTATTTTATTCTCTTTGTAGCAATTGTGAATGGGAGTTTGCTCTTGATTTGACTCTCTGTCTGTTATTGGTGTATAGGAATGTTTGTTATTTTTTGCACATTGATTTTGTATCCTGAGACTTTGTTGAAGTTGCTTATCAGCTTAAGTAGATTTTAGGCTGAGATAATGGGGTCTTCTAAATATACAAACATGTTGTCTGCAAATCGCAACAATTTCACTTCCTCTTTTCCTAATTGAATACCCTTTACTTCTCCTTCCCTGACTGCTCTGGCTAGAACTTTCAATACTATGTTGAATAGGAGTGGTGATAGAGGGCACCCTTGTCTCTCAATATATGATATTGGCTGTGGGTTTGCCATAAATAGCTTTTATTATTTTGAGATATGTTCCAGCGATACCTAGTTTTTTTAAGAGTTTTTAGCATAAAGGGCTGTTGAATTTTGTTGAAGGCCTTCTCTGCATCTATTGAGATAATCATGTGGTTTTTGTCTTTGGATCTGTTTATGTGATGGATTACATTTATAGACTTGCATATGTTGAACCATCCTTGCATCCCCAGGATAAAGCCCACTTGATCATAGTGGCTAAGTTGTTTGATGTGCTGTTGCATTTGGTTTGCCAGTATTTTATTGAAGATTTTTGCATATATGTTCATCATGGATATTGGCCTGAAATTTTCTTTTTTAGTTGTATCTCTGCCAGGTTTTGGTATCAGGATGATGTTGGTCTCATAAAATGATTTAGGGAGGATTCTCTCTTTTTGTGTTGTTTGGAATAATTTCAGAAGGAGTGGTACCAGCTCCTCTGTGTATGTCTTGTAAAATTCGGCCCTGAACCCTTCTGGATCTGGACTTTCTTTGGTTAGTAGGCTATTAATTGCTGCCTCTACTTCAGACCTTGTTATTGGTCTATTCAGGGATTCAACTTCCTTCTGGTTTAGTCTTGGGAGGGTGTAAATATCCAGGAATTTATCCATTTCTTCTAGATTTACTGGTTTATGTGCATAGAGTTGTTTGTAGTAATCCCTGATAATAGTTTGTATTTCTGTGGAATCAGTGGTGATATCCCCTGTATCATTTTTTATTGCATCTATTCAATTCTTCTCTCCTTTCTTTTTTATTACTCTGGCTAGCAGTATATCTATTTTATTCATCTTTTCAAAAAAAACAGCTCCTGGATTTATTGATTTTTTTGAAGGGGTTTTTGTTTCTCTTTCTCCTTCAGTTCGGCTCTGATCTTAGTTATTTCCTGTATTCTGCTAGCTTTTGAATTTGTTTGATCCTGCTCCTCTAGCTCTTTTAATTTTGATGATAGGATATTGATTTTAGATCTTGCCTCATTTCTCGTATGGGCATTTAGTGCTATAAATTTCCTTCCAGACACTGCTTTAAATGTGTCCCAGAGATTCCGGTATGTTGTGTTTTTGTTCTCATTGGTTTCGAAGAACATCTTTATTTCTGCCTTCATTTCATTATTTATCCAGTAGTCATTCAGGAGCAGGTTGTTGTTTCCATGTAGTTGTGCGGTTTTGAGTTAGTTTCTAAATACTGAGTTCTAATTTGATTGCACTGTGGTCTGAGAGACTGGTTGTTGTGATATCTATTCTCTTGCATTTGCTGAGGAGTGATTTACTTCCAATTATGTGGTCAGTTTTAAAGTAAGTGTGAAGTGGTGCTGAGAAGAAGTTATATTCTGTGGATTTGGAGTGGAGAGTTCTGTAGATGTCTATTGGGTCCACTTGTCCAGATCTGAGTTCAAGTCCTGGATATCCTTGTTAATTTTCTGTCTCTTTGATCTGTCTAGTATTGACATGGAGTGTTAAAGTCTCCCACTACTATTGGCCACATGCTTTTAAACAACCAGATCTCATGAAAACTCTATCACGATAACAGCACCAAATGGGGAAATCTGCCCTGATAATCCAATCACTTCCCATCAGGCCCCACCTCCAACATTGGGTATTATAATTTAACTTGTGATTTGTAGAGGGACACACATCTGAACTATATCATATGCCTTGAAGATGGTGTCGGTTATAAAAGAGGGCTTCTTTTATATGCAAAATATCCCTGTTATGGGTTGAAGTGTATTCCTCCCCCCAAATTCATATGTTGAAGTCCTAACCCCTGGTACCTCAGAATGTGACTTTATTTTGAGATAAGTTCTTCACCAAGTTAAAATGACATTATTATGGTAGGCCTTAATCCATTATAATTAGCAGTCTTATTAAAAAAGAAAACTGGGGATAGAGACGCAAGAAGAATACCATGTGAGCATCAGAGCAGTGATGGAGGTGAGGCATCTAGAAGCTAAGGAAGCCATCAATTAATTGCTTGTAAACCACCAAAAGCCAGGGAAAGGTACAGACTCTTCCTCTCAGCCTTCATAAGGAACTAAGCCTGCTGACATCTCGGATTTCTGGCCTCCAGAACTGTGAGGAAAGCTTCTGTTTGCTAAGCCACCCAGTTTGTGGGACCTTGCCATGGCAGCCCCAGAAAACTGATAGATTTCCATATCAGCCTGTGAGGGACTCTAAGAATGAGAAATGCTAACTGAGAGATTTGAGAGTGTAGTTTTGTTCAATGGAGTGAAGGATAATTTGACAAAAAGGAAGCCAATTTTTTTTTTGAGATGGAGTCTTTCTCTGTCACCCAGTCTGTATTGCAGTGGCACAGTGGCACAGTCTCAGCTCACTGCAACCTCTGCTTCCCAGATTCAAGTGATTCTCACAGGTGTACACCACCACACCAGGCTAATTTTTATATTTTTGATAGAGACAGCATTTCACCATGTTGGTCAGGTTGATCTTGAACTCCTGGTCTCAGGTGATCCACCCATCTCAGCCTCCCAAAGTGCTGGGATTACTGGCATAAAGCACCACTCCCGGCCCAATATATATATTTTTAATTACTTAGACTGAAAGGAATAGAGACAAAACAAACAAAAAGAAGGTCCTCCTGGAATACCAGGGACAAGTAAGCCGAGAGGTCTACTCAGCTATAAATATCAGCCACGTTTTGTGAAAAAAGATGACTGACTTACAGAGTGGGGACAAATGCCACAGAGAATCATATCCAGTGAGGAACATGCTGTGAGTACAAATTCAGAAGGAAATAAGGGGCATATCATTGGCAAGTGAAGGAAATGGGTTCCTTTCTACATAATTTCAGAAAGCTTAGTAAAATTTTGTCCAGCAGTTGACAGCAGAAGTCAAAAGTGATAAATTTAAATATATAGCTAAGGAGATTTCCAAGTAAAGTGTTGAAAGTTTTACCTGGTTTCTTTTATTGCCACTTATGGTAAAATGTTAGAGGAGAGGCACAAATTGAAGAAATAATTGTTAAACAAAAAGGAAATAGGGCTTGATTATTTAAAAAATTCTAAGGCTCTCTAGATAACAAAAATGCTAGAAGTAAAAAAAAATGTAAGAAAATTATTATGCAAAGCATGGTGTTTTGAAAAAGCTGAATGTTCTGTATTCTTTTATGTGATGGTCAATTAGGTGCAACCAGAGAGGAGATAGGAGAGGCTCAGAAAAACATAAGTGTATTATACTCACTGATCCTAGAGAGGTGGCCACTCTACGCTAAGCAGGAGTGCATGGAGAGCTCCAGGTTTTGGTCATGTGGTAGAAGATAGGAGCAACGGGAAAGTCTACACCAGTCTCTATTGGGGTTTTTGTGAGAAAGGCAAGGCGAGACAGAGTAAATAATGTAGGACTGGCTAGTTTGAGTAATTTCTGTAAGCTTTGGGGTATAAGACGGGTCCCAACTTGCCTGATACCTGACCCTCAAATGACGAAGTCAGAGGAATATTTCCTCCTTGGTTGTACTGGCCAGAAAGAGGAAACCTGGCTCTAGGTTGATTTGCTTAGTGAAGACATGATCCTAGCTGAGCCTTTTGCTGTCTCCATGAATAGCTAGCCCTGGAGCTAAAAGTCTTTCCCAAGCCAGAAAGGTTCATACGTCAAAACATCATCATAAACAGAAAATTAATATAAATACTACAGTGAAGGGATAACTCCATAAC